GAGTGGTACCCGCAAATGTAAAGTATATAAAATTTTTCGGATTTGCAGGTGCTTCTGAAGGGGAAGTTGCGTTGATAAGTAACTTTTGCTGATGAATATCAGCGACTGTCTTGTTTCCTATTGTATAACGCATGCTTTAATTTTGCAATGTTAAGTAAATAGCGAGGAAGATTTTATAAAAAATTCGACAAACAACACAAAAAGCTATCCACGGAAAATTAAGTTGTCTTTAATAAATAAAAAATATTTTGTGTGTGAAGCAGTAATATTCTTTTTTTCCATTCCGATACGTTTCATAAATTTTCTATTTATGGTATCATGATTTTCACATGTGCATATATCGAAATTAATAGAATTTCTGTTAACGTTAATGTAACAAATCGAAATGTTCTATCAACAGCAGTTAAATGTCTGTACGTAGATAGATGCCAATTAATTTTAGGCACTTTATCGTACAGGTCTGTGTATTGTTACATGTACTAACGCTAATCGGTGAATCCAAGTCATATTATTGTACACAATAAGGTAATTGTTTACTATTTTAAAGCACACGCTTTATTTTGGCTTCTAAGACTAATCTTTTATATGTAATTTTATAGTTCATATTACAGAGTAATTTATTACATAAATTGTGAAATCATTGCACAAATTATTAGAAAAATATTGTGTAAATTGTTGTATAAATTACTGGATGAATTACTGGATAATATTATCATCATCGCATAATTTAAAAGAATCACATTATTGAGAGGGTTCTGATTGGTGGGGCGGGGAACACGAAGAAATCCGGGTTACTTTTATAACAGTACATACAATACAGCCAAATTTCTGAGTTATTTACATGTACACGTACGTCTATCGATATGATTTATTAGAGCACCAATAACGATATCGATATCCCTGTCGAATTATACATGATACATGTATACAAAAGATTTTAAAATTATCAAGGAAAAATTTTTGCAGTTTTAAAAATCCCATTATAGTTTGAAAGCCAAAGACGAAATACATCAAAATATAAAAAGTAGCACCATTTTTTGGAGGACCAGATACATTTTAAAAATAGGTATAAAATTTTCTGGGTCTAGCAATTTTTGGTTTCTTTGCTTGGGTATAAAGAGTCTTTTGTATATGCTTATAGATATAAAAATGTTTTCATTTGTGTACACACTTATAAATTTTTTTTTAAAAAAATTATTTTACAATAAAAAAATATTTACCAGAAATCCAAAAAAAGTATAGTAAAACATTAAAAAATGAAATTTTCTCTTTATAATGAAATTTTATTTTATTAGTAAATTTTTTTGTTTTATATCAAAATAAAGTCAATAATCTATATTTTAACATAAATCTTTTATAGAATTTTTAAATTTAATTTCAAAAATATTTTGATTGTAAAGTTAATTATATAAATTTCTTATAATTAAATTTCAATTGATAAAATTTAATTGTATAAAATTTGTATAACCAACTTTATAATCAGAAATATTTTTGAATTAAATTTAAAAAATCTATAAAAATTTATGTTAAAATACAAATTCTTGATATAAAACAAAAAATATTTATTATGCTTTTTTGAATTTCTTGTAAATATATATTAATATTTTTTATTAATAAGTAATTTAAAATTTAATATAAGTACTTAATATAAGATATAGTCACTTCTTTATAGTCACATCTATCTATAGTTATATTCTTTTATAATTATTCTATTTTGCTTTTTTATTTATATATAAACATAATAAAAAATCTCTTTATAATTATATTTTATTTATAGTTACAAAATTTTGTTTTTTTAAATGTAGTAACTATAGTTTTTTTTCTAATCTTAATAAAAAAAATTATTTGAATTATTTATAATTATATTATATTATATTGTATATATATATAGTAAATAATAGCAAAAGACATTTCATAATGCCAAATTTTTATTGTAAATCTTATATATAATAATTAATTTGACCAATCAGAATTCTTTATATTTTATTAATAAATACCAAAATTGTAATTTCACAAATTTATATCTCAAAAAAAAAAGAAAATTATAAAAATATTTTAACAGAATTATAATTTTATTAAATAATTATTAATCTATAAGAAGATTTTTTTATATTGTCTTTTTTTAAGTTATAACACTTTTTGTAATATTTAAAAAGTAAATATTTTTTGCTATCCAGTACTCTATATATATATATATATATATAATTGCATATATCAATAATTTTTTATTTAAAAATTATTCTTTTCTTAAATTTATTATTAAATAAACTTGCTATAAAAATATAAAATAAGTTATTAAATAAATTTATATTTAAAAAATAATTATTAATAAATTTTTAATATTAAAAAGTATATATTTATTACTAGTTAATATTATACTAGTATTTTTATAAACAAAATTGATTTTTATTTGAATTTAAGTTTAATTTGAAATTTAAAATAAATTTTGACTTGAATTTAAATTATTATATAAATTTGAGTTTAATTTGATATTAATATTGTTACCATAGTAATATAAATTTCTCTAATTCAATAATCTTTCTTTGATTATATGAAATTCTCTTTTTCTTAATTTT